TCTCTCTCCCTTCTTCTCTCTCTCTCTCTCTCTCTCTCTCTCTCTCTCTCTCTCTCTCTCTCTCTCTCTCTCTCTCTCTCTCTCTCTCTCTCTCTCTCTCTCTCTCTCTCTCTCTCTCTCTCTCTCTCTCTCTCTCTCTCTCTCTATCTATCTATCTATCTATCTATCTCTAGCTAGCTAGCTAGCTAGCTAGCTAGTTATCTATTTATCTAGCTAACTATCATTGTTTTTAGATATTTATTGTATAGTTCCGTTTTTATTTGCCTGTAAGCCGCCCTGAGTCCTTCGGGAGAAGGGCAGGGTATAAATTAAAGTATTATTATTATTATTATTATTATTATTATTATTATTATTATTATTATTATTATTATTATTATTATTATTATTATTATTATTATTATTATTATCTATTTATCATCTATCTACCATCTGTCTGTCTGTCTCTCTCTCTCTTTATTGATATTGTGTGTATTTGTGTGACAAACAAATATTTATTAGGCAGCTGCATTTTAAGATCCAAAGCTTTTTTTTTTAATATATAAACTGTTTTCAGATGTCCATGTACGAGGATTCAGTTGCAACACATCTGACAAAGATCCTTGATTCGGATCAGCACTCCGTTGTTATATCGTCTGCCAAGTAAGTTCAACCCCAGGGTGTAAAATTGCTTTCTAATTTGAAAAAAAAACCTCTTTCCACCTTTCTCGATGGATAAAACCGTCTGTTGCCCTCCTTTTCCTTTTCCTCTGAAGCATCACTGCAGCACGCGATTACTTACACTCAAATGAGAATTTTATTTCATACGAGTGAAAAGTGAGGTGAGGAAAGGGGAGGTTTTTGTGTGAGATATCCCACGAGCTTTTCATTTGTAAAATATAAAACGTACAGTCTTAATGGCTTTTTTTTAAAATGATAAGTGGCCGGAGCTAAATTACTGCCTAATGTAAAATGAATGATTAATATCATCCATTTCCCTTCTTATTCCGGGATTTCTTTCTCCTGAAAAAGGATCTTGTGTGAAACCGTCAAAGGATTTGTGGCCAAAATAGGAAAGACTTCTGAGAGACCAGTGGGAAACGCAGAAACGGACGCCATGGCTCTTAAAGTAAGAATTAAGTTTGTTTTATTTAAAGAAGTTATTCAGCATCTGGTATTATATCGATGGATTTCCCCAACCTTAGTGTTTCTTTCATGTGGATACACAGAAGGTTTACAGTAAATATTGGAAGGCTTCAGGTCTAAAGATGGTTAAAGATGGCTAGCATTAAACCTAAATTTAATTGCTGGAATTGGGTATGTCTAGTTTAATGAAGAGAAGGACAAGGGGGGACATGATAGCAGTCTTCCAATATCTCAGGGGCTGCCGCAAAGAAGAGGGAGTCAAGCTATTCTCCAAGGCGCCTGAAGGTAGGACGAGAAGCAACGGGTGGAAACTAATCAAGGAGAGAAGCAACCTAGAACTAAGGAGAAACTTCCTGACCGTTAGAACAATTAGCCAGTGGAACAACCTGCCTCCAGAAGTTGTGAATGCTCCAACACTGGAGGTTTTTAAGAAGAAACTGGACAGCCATTTGTCTGAAATGGTATAGGGTTTCCTGCCTGAGCAGGGGGTTGGACTAGATGACCTCCAAGGTCCCTTCCAACTCTATTATTATTATTAATGTTGTTGTTGTTGTTGTCCATGGATGTCTATGGAGAGTCTCCATCATCCAGAGCTGGAAGGGACCTTGGAGGTCTTTTAGTCCAACCCCCTGCTCAGGAAGGAAACCCTATACCATTTCAGACAAATGGCAGTCCAATCTGTTCTTAAAAACATCCAGTGTTGGAGCATTCAACATAGAATAGAATAGAATAGAATAGAATAGAATAGAATAGAATAGAATAGAATAGAATAGAATAGAATAGAATAGAACAGACCTTGGAGGTCTTGTAGTCTACCCCCCTGCTTGAGCAGGAGAACCTATACCATTTCAGACAAGTGACTGTCCAGTCTCTTCTTAAAAACCTCTAGTGATGGAGTGCCCACGATTTCTGGAGGCAGGTTGTTCCACTGGTTAATTGTCCTCACTGTCAGGAAGTTTCTCCTTAACTCCAGGTTGCTTCTCTCTTTGGTCAGTTTCCAACCATTGTTTCTTCTCCTGCCTTCGGGTGCTTTGGAGAATAATTTGACCCCCTCTTCTTTGTGGCAGCCCCTCAAATACTGGAACGCTGCTATCATGTCTCCCCTATTTCTTCTTTTCTTTAGACTGGCCAAACCCCAGTCATGCAGCCGTTCTTCGTATGTTTTAGTCTCCAGGCCTTTAATCATCTTGGTTGCTCTTCTACAAACGACAGACTCAACAATTCCTCTCTAGAACTGTATCAGCAGCTCTTTTATATCCCTTTATAATCTTTTTTTTTAGTGCTCAGAGCTGAACGAGAAGTTGAGTCTACTGCTCCAGGCTCTCCAGGCTGAAACCCAGGTTAGTCCGAGCTTTTCCCACATGGCTACCACCCCCATCACAGAGGAAGAACCGGACGAGTCATCGAGCGAGGAATCTTTGTCGGACGCCAAAGAGCCGTTGACCGAGAACAACGTGGCTTCTCCGACGCAACAGATGTTCAAGTCCCGAGAACAGCTGATGCTAAGGGCCAACAGTTTAAAGAAAGCTCTGAGACAGATCATTGAGCGAGCAGAAAAAGGTGAAGGAGATTTCATTGGCTAGCTGTGGTTGGGATCATGGTTTGTTGACGGGGCTTAATTGACTTGAAAATGTGGAACTTGTCCTGAGCTAAACCCTTGTTGACCGGTGACAAGTACAGGGCTAAATGTCTATGGAGATTCTCAGTCATCCAGGTCATGATTGTCCCAAAGGTGCTTTTTTCAAGAGGTCACTGGACTTTTTTTTGTTTTTTCCTGAACTGAACTAAAGAAGCTTCTTGACGAGAAGCGAAACGTCTTTAAGGAAAAAACCAACGAAGTCCAGTTCCTGTTTGAAAAAACACTTTGGGGAGAAATACAAGGTTAATTTCTCCTCGTGTCCCCTGTAACTTGGATACCTTCTCCAGCCTACCTGCAACTGAAGGTCTGCTTCCCTAACAGAATGAGTACTGCTTGCTGTATCACCTGAAACCTACGAAGTGAGGTTAACCGTGATTTGACAATGGTTTGGTCAACTTATCCCATTGTGTTGAAAAATAATTTCGGTTTCTTTCCCGTACTTTTTTTTATTTGTCTTCTTTTTTGCAAAGATGCAACCTTAAAATAAAAATAAAAATAAAAATAACATATTGGCACGGGCAGATCTGCAAAGTCAAAACCAGTTGGCTGATGAGCTTTGTTGCTTATTTTATTTATTTTTATTTATTAAATTTATATACCGCCCTATCTCCCTTACGGGACTCAGGGCGGTGAACAGGCGATACTAAAAACCACAATAATAAATAAATAGTTGTTGTTGTTGTTAGTTGCGAAGTCGTGTCCGACCCATCGCGACCCCATGGACCACGTTCCTCCAGGCCTTCCTGTCCTCTACCGTCTTCTGGAGTCCATTGAAGCTCATGCCTCCTGCTTCAGAGACTCCATCCAGCCACCTCCTTCTCTGTCGTCCCCTTCTTCTCTTGCCCTCCATCTTTCCCAGCATCAGGCTCTTCTCCAGGGAGTCCTTCCTTCTCATTAGGTGGCCAAAGTACTTGAGTTTCAACTTCAGGATCTGGCCTTCTAAAGAGCAGTCGGGGTTGATCTCCTCTAGGACTGACCGGTTGGATCGCCTTGCA